CCAAAAGGTTGATGATCCTCTCAGAATCCTCGAAGAACAGAGAAACAACCTCAATCACAAAATCTGGGTTGCTCTCATCTTGCAGGCTATGAAGCTGGGCAAATTGACCATCCAAGATCCCCTTTTTTTTCAACCCCCATAAGCAAAAAAAGGAAAGAAAATAAAAAAAAAAAAAAAACCCTTTCTCAAAATCCGACCAAGAAATTAAATTGAAAAAAAAAACATATAATCAAGAAATGGATGGATTTCCACTGACTGACCTCGCGACCCAGATAAGCTACGAACTCAAGAAACTGTTTCTGCATCTGAGCGACATCCATGGCGGATTGCTTCGTATGAGGTCTGCAATTTCCGCGTTTTTAGTTGGGTGTTTTTTTCTTTTTTTTGCAGATGTCTGTGATGTGTCCTGTACCACTACTGTCTTTGCCTGCTGATTGATTGATTTGGATTTTGGAGCTAATATTAATAAATGATTAGACAAAGACGACAATTAAGGCTATCCTTAATCCGGATTGACTTCTACCCAGTATCATTTGTTTTGCCTTATTCGGTAATTATTCACTAATCATTCTGCATGCAGCACAGTAATACTGCCGTAATTGCTGGTAGAAGAGACCCTGGAAGAAGATGAAGAAAAAACATACTCCGTATTCCATAGCTAATTCGGTAAAGATTGCATTTTATTAAATTATTTTATTTACAAATTACCATATCATAACAAATAAAAACAAGACAATAAAAAAATTACATCAAAAAATCTAAAGAAATCACCCTAAATATGATTAAAACATAGAAAAGTATCCATGATTGATAATGTAAATGAATATTAACTCCTATTTTGAGAATAAAAACATAGAGCTCCAACTTTAATATATTTTCAATGTTTTACTCCTATTTTAATTTTTTTAAAAAAATCTATGAAATAAAAGATGATAAGAATATATTATTATTCCGTATTTTTTAAATAATCAATGAAAATACACAAATAAAAAAATTTATCGAGAGCGAGAGAAAAAAAGATTGTAACCAAAATTAAAACATAGAGAGTAATTTCTTGTGAATTATTAAATGAGAATAATAAGTAAATACTCATGGGCTATCATTTTGAATCGGACCAAAATTTTTGTCATATTACATAAAGCGAGCGAAGTAAAATTTAAACTTTTTCAATTCGCTTTAGAGAAAAATATTAAAGTAGTAAAAAATTAAAAACATATCAAAATAGAAATTTCATATTTTTATTCTCGAAATATGAACTAAAGTGCATATATAATGCCATTCATGACTATATGCATTATAAAAAAGTATTATTAAGTGTCTGTATACAATACCACATTATCATAGTGCACACTTCTATTTTGTTGATAAACACATGAGACTCATATTTTGGTACTAAAGCAGCGTGAAAAATTCATTAAAATAAGATATACCAGAAAATTTTAATTTTAATATGTTAACAATTATTTTTAGCGACTTTAATTTATTTAATTTCAATTTCTGAAATTATGTTATTTTATCTCGATTTATGGTTTGTTTCATATAAAAACCATTACAATATAACAATGCATCTTTTCAGTAAGGATCTAATATAAAATTAACGTACCAAACATTTAAAATTTTATTGATTGCTTTTTTAGAACAAAAGTATTTTTGAATACTCAAAAACATTGAAAGTGATTTAACATTGATAATAAGATATCCTCTAAATAAATTCGAGCAATACAAATCTTTCAAAAAAATTAAAATAAAAAAAAACCGGCAATGCGAATATTTTTATAAAATTCGTGATATAAACCTTCAAAAAATATACTCGTATATTCTAAATCTTTTAGACCAAATCTTCGATATATTTGAATATCTAAAAAAGGATGAATGCAGATTTTTGGAGAGAATTTTTTGGGTGATAAATTCAAATTTTGTTGAAATTTGTGTTCTCTTTTTTTGAACAAAAATTTAGGTGAAGTTAACATTTTTAAACACTAATAACTCTATTATAATACTCCCTCCGTCCCGAAGTATTCGTCCAGTTTTGACTTTTGAAACTGTTCATCTAAATACTTTGACTCATCAAATTCTCTCAATGTGTAAGCCTAAATATAGTCATGTGTGATCTTGTTTGATTTGTCTTAACATATAGATTACTAATATATAATTTCTACAATTTTTTAATATACAATATACAAGATAAAATGGATTAAAGAAGTGTATTGGATGATGTGTAAAAATGAAAGTAGACAAATACTCTGGGACGGATGTAGTATAATCTAATATCTGTTTATACATTATCAACCTATTAAAGTTGGTAGTAGTAGAGTTACTGCCTGCACTAGGGATCGAACACGTGAAATTTCATTTGGGAGTATTATCGCAGTGCCATTGGACTACAAGGTCGTTGGCTTGAGTGAAATTAAGTTAAACAAACATCAGACTAATAAAATTTAAAAAATACAGTATACAAGAATAGATGATATTATACAGTCAAATTTGTGGAAGGAATATATTTTGGCATTGATAAATTGATATTCCCCTATTGGAATACTTCTTCCAGTCCCAAATTAAATTACCTGATTACAATTTATAGGGTCAAATTTCATTTAATTTCTTTCTCTATTTTCGTTAGTCATTTGACAAAATAATATAATTATGTTACTTCTAGTTTTATAGATCTTTTGATATAGTTTTTAAATACAGAGTATGCAATTTTTATTTGTTTAATTCTATACCGTTATTCATATAAAATAATTTGAAAATAACTACAGTCAAACAACGTAAACTTGCAATTTAAATTGAGACGAAGGATTAGGATGCTTTGGATTCCACTTATATTACCCTGTCTTTTCCTTTGATTATTATGCTTTTGAGACAGGGAAAATCTTACCCTATATTTTTAGGTCTCCTCCTTTGTTCTTATCCATTTCTCCAAAGGCCTTTTTGGTTTCTGGGTAATCTTTGGCTTTTATATCTTATGGTAAACCCCACGTTTATGATATGAATCAGTTGATAATTCCAACTTTTTTTTTTCAAATCCTATTTTCCATAAATTATTTTCTTCTAAATTATTTTCTTTTCCTGCATAAACTCCCTGTCTTTTTTCTCAATAATTTTTCTGAATTTGCACTATGAGAGAAGTCTTGGAGTTAAACTCTCCCTTATTCTGAGTGACCTCTTTGGACTTATACACTCCCTCTTTTTTAATGGTACCTTTTTAATTTCTGGGGATTCTTTTGACCCTCACCACTAAGAAATTATGCCATTTTTTATGAAAACGTTTATCCAGAGACAGGAAAAAGAAAGTTAAAAAAAAACCCAATCCCATCCCCTTCCTTTTCAAAATATGCTTTTACATATAATTTGCATGCATAATAATTACATATTTACCAAACCAGTAAATATTTCAAACTTCATCATGGTTGGCATTTACATATATACAGTGTATATCATATGGTTCCATCCAATCTTCTTCTTCTTCTTCTTCTTCTTCTTCTTCTTCTTGGGTCACATAAAGATTCATCTGTTGGGGGCTTCCATGGCAATCTGTTCCTGCAGACTGAGACAGCTTAAGTTGCTCTTCTTTTGATACCCTTCAGCAATGGAGAGTTGTTCATAGTATCCCTTCCACTGTGATGGCTTTCTACACCTCATTATCAATTCCAGGCTCTCCCAGTTCCCTCTCAGAAGCTGCAGAACCTGCAATGCCAAAACACCCCTTTCTTGGTGTTACTTTTTTTGTAGATGTCCAAAAACATTCTTTTTTTTTTTCTCATACAAAAATAGGAAAAAAAAGATTGATGATTGTGCCCATGATCTGCGCTTTCCTGGCTGATCCGAGGACGCCTTAATGGAGACTGTTGAACACACAGAGAAGCAGCCAACACCATGAGATTCATCTGCAAAGGGCTGTAGTTATCGCCGAGTGAGGTATCGGCAAGCTCTCTAATCCTGTTCTTCTTTAGCAGAGGTTTTGCCTGGAATTACCCAAAGAAAACTCGGATAACGTTAGTGTTTTAGATGATTTTTTAAAGGGCATTACATAAACTTTGAAAATGCTTAATTGCACTAAAAGTAATGAACTGTTGAGGCATAGTTTACCCAGATTACAAGGCTTTGTTGAGAGTAATCAAGGGCGCGGCGCCCTGTGATGAGCTCCAAAAGCAGCACACCGAAGGCAAAAACGTCTGTTTTTTCATCCACTATACCGTGCATTAGAAACTCGGGCGCAAGATATCTGAAATCACAGATTTTTTTACTTTTAGTTGTCAAAAAGGAAGAGTAGGAAATATGACACTATATGGTTTGCTGTTACTACCCAAATGTCCCTTCGAATTCCATCACATTGAGGTGAGTCCACTGTTCCGGAAGCCACTTTGCAAGTCCAAAATCACAAATCTGAAAACAAGAAACACTCTCTTAGGGGTCCTTTGGAAACATCTTTCTCAATTAGCATTTTGGATTATATCTTAATGGATGGTGCAGCTTAACTTTAAAAACTAAAGTTAAACACTGTCGTGATATAACCTTTTCAAAGCGCTGAATTTGTTGCCAAACGAACACAATATCATTCTCAATAATATATGATAATATATATGACTATGAAAAAGGAGGAGAACCGGAAAATACCTGAGGCTCAAAGTCCTTTGTAAGCAATATATTTGCAGCTTTAATATCTCTATGGATTATTCTCTTCCGGCAACCTTCGTGAAGATACTGTATCCCTTTAGCTGTGCCTAGGGCAACCTTGTACCGGATGCTCCATTTGAGCTTTTTCTTTCCAACTGCAAGCCAAAAAAATAAAACATGCATCATTGTACAATTGTGTCACATATGAAACTCTTGATATAAATGTTGAATGTTCAAGTATCCGATATTGGAATATTAGAGAAGTAATGATGATTTAATAAGGTTTTAAGTTGAGCTAGATGATGATCTGTTAATATACCGTGAATCATAGATGCTAGGCTTCCATGTGGTGATAGCTCAAGCACAAGAAAATATCCACCTTCAACCCCATAGCCAATCAATTTAGCAGTATTGGGATGGTTGACATGAGCCATTATCCCAAGCTCAGACAAGAAATCTCCTATTCTCTCCTCTGGCTGTCCTCTTGTCAAAACTTTAACTGCAACAAACTGCCCATCACGTAAACGCCCTCTATACACATCAGCATAACCGCCTTTTCCTATTAAGTTTCCTGCACATTATATGCACATATGAGTACCAAAGGTGAAATGTCTATCGTGGGTGGGGGGGGGGGGGGGGGGGGGG